GTCAGTTTTTTATGTGAATATAAGTTTTCATTTTACTTGAATGGAAGTGTGATTGGTGGGTTATACGGTAAGTAAAAGTAAAACTTGATAAGAAACTATAAAACAGTTTTCCAAAGTGGCTGTAGCGTTTTGTATTCCTACCATTAATGTATCAGAGTTGCAATTATTCCATATCTCAACAGTTCTTGGTATTGTCAGATTTTAGTTTTAGCTATTTATATATAAATACCCCATTGTATTTTTTTGTTTCTCTAATGACTAGTGATATAGAATATACTTTCTTGTGCTAATTTGTCATCTATCTACATTCTTTGTAAAGTATTCAAAATTTCTGCCCATTTTTTATTGAATTGTTTGACTTCTTACTATTGAGGGTTTTTTGTTTTTCTACTGTTATAAAGGTTTTACTGAAGAAACTTGATGAGTATAAATATTTCATGGCTAAGTAAAGATAAACATGACAGTTAAAAAATAGTGAAAGCGAATTTAGCTATGTCTATTCAAAATGAGCATCACCTATTTGTAATGTTGATTTATTTGATGTTGGATACATGTGTAACAATAGTTTCTTAAAACCAACTGTAAATAATACTAAAAAATCATTGAATACATTTCTAAAATATATGTTGTTGTTGTTAGGTGTCTCTAGTTGGTTCCGACTCATAGCGACCCTATGTACAACAGAATGAAACACTGCCTCGTCCTGTGCCGTCCTCACAATTGTTGTTATACTTGAACCCAATGTTGCGGCCATTGTGTCAGGCCATCTCATTGACGGTCTTCCTCCTTTTTGCCGACCCTCAACTTTACCAAGCATGATGTCCTTCTCCAGGGACTGGTCCCTCCTTATAACATGTCCAAAGAATGTGAGAAGTAGTCTCTCCATCCTTGCTTCTAAGGAGCATTCTGGCTGTACTTTTTCCAAGACAGATTTGTTCGTTCTTCTGGCAGTCCATGGTATATTCAATATTCTTCACCAACGCGGTTATTTAAAGGCATCAATTCTTATTCGGTCTTCTTTATTCATTGTCCAGCTTCACATACATACGAGGTGATTGAAAACACCATGGCCTGGGTCAGGCGCACCTTAGTCCTTAAAGTAACATCTTTGCTTTTTAACACTTTAAAGAGGTCTTTTGCAACAGATTTGCCCAATGCAACGTGTCATTTGATTTCCTGACTGCTGTTTTCATGGGCATTAATTGTGGATCCAAGTAAAATGAAATCCTTGACAACTTCAATCTTTTCTCCATTTGTCATGATGTTGCTTACTGGTCCAGTTGTAAGAATTTTTGTTTTCTTAATGTTGAGGTGTAATCCATACTGAAGGCTGTAGTCTTTGATATTCATCTAAAATGTATACCCTGAATAAGACATCTATATCAAATTCCTGTCCTGTAGTGTCTGTATTTAAGTTTATAAACTTAGCTAAACCAAAAACCAAACCCATTGCCCTCGAGTTGATTCTGACTCACAGCGACCCCATAGGACAGAGTAGAACTGCCCCGTAGGGTTTCCAAGGAGTGGTTGGTGTATTCAAACTGCTGACCTTTTGGTAGCAGTCAAGCTCTTAGTTATCTTAGCTACTTCTCTACAAATAACTGCAATTCTGTATTAAAGTTTTGAAGCTGCCTCAGCCTTTACACTCAAATAATGTTTCCTGTGCTGTCCTCCCAGCATGACTATGTTCCCTGTTTCTACTTTCTTCTGTATATCTATTAATCCCTGTGTTCAACAGAAAATACCTTACTCAGATTAACCCAGATCAGTGCTAACATAACCTTCAGCTGAAACATCTTTATTTCTAAATCAAATAAAAACGAATACTTGAGTGACCTCTCCATGCATGGCATTAGGTCTCTCACCGATCTGGCAGTCTGACACGCTATAAATTCCCAGCATGTATGGAATATTGCTTCCTTCTTTCCCTCAAAACAGAAAGAACTGCATAATTCCGGATCTCAGAAGTACTCATAATGAACCGCTAGTGCCCCCAATCAACATACACTACAGTATTATACATGGCAATATTATTTTAATCTATTTACTTCTGTTTCGAAAATGTATCTTTAAAGACCATGCTCCCAACTAAACCATTTAGCAGTAACATTTTGGAGAGAAACAGAAACAATGCACATTCTTGGGGGAGGACAAGGTAGAAAGGGGGAAGAGTCTCTAATTCAAAATATGCAGGGGTTTCTGTTTATCATCCCAATGAATACCTTTCTAAAGAATCCTGTAGTCAGTGGCTTTCTTACCCCTTTCTAATTTAAAACTGCTTAGGTGGACCAGTAGGAGTGGAATGTCAAGGAGATGCCTAAAATACCCTTAGCTTTCGGTACCTGGGACCAAGTCTAAGACCTGTAAGAAGGACTGCTAGGTTTAAAAGACATTTATTAGTAGCTACTGATTTCTCTCTCTTTTGAAGAAACAAATAAAACTGAAGCTTCTTAATACTCTATTTACTATTTGGCATCAGATACGTAATTATGGAGGGTGGGGTAGGGAAGGAGGAGGGAAAATAGATGATTGGAGGATGATAGGGAAGGGGAGAAAGGAGAAAGAATGATATCACAAGCTCTGCCAGAATTCTTCCAGTCTTATGATTCCATCATTGCAGGGATACTGATAAAACCTGGCTGTTTTTCCATGTTGATACTTCTGAGGGGCAGGAATAAATTAATTTGACGCTTAAAGGAGACGGCTCTCCTCTTTCTTTGGCCCTCTGAAATTTACCTTTCCTCTTTTACCTCCAAAGCCAACTCCCCAGGATCATACAGAAGGGGACCCACCAGCGAAGAGGTGTCATTCCCTCTTTGCAGCTGCTTCAACCATTACGCTCAAATTAACATTTAACTGTGGTGTTTCCCGCTTTTATCCCGAATAGCCCAGGTCCCTCTCAATTCCTAGTTTTCCTCTGAACTTGCTCGCTTTTCTGCGCCTCCGTAGGGTTTCCTGGGTGTGAGCCCGGTCTCAGAAAGGGGACACGTGTGCGGCCGCCCGCATGCCCCAGATTTGCTCCCAGTATCTTCTCTCACCCTCCTCCCCAAAGACACCTTGTAGGGTGGTTGGTCCGCCCGGGCGCCTAGTAACATACTCCGACATGTGGGGTAAAAGGAAGGCTATTCGTCTGGGAAGGGGCATGAGAGAAGTAAAGACATGCTCAAGGCAGCAGTCTCAGGAGATGCAGGTGCTACTACTTGAGACAGCTGCGTCTTTCAGTGGCTAAGTGGGTCTAGTACTGAACTTTAAGAGTTAATTTTTATGTATTCAGCAAATATTTTCTTCCAGCCTATGAATTTTTTTTCTTAACAGTGCCTTTTGATGAGCAGAAGTTTCTAATATGAAGAAATTCGATTTTTCAATTATTTTTATTTATGGATTGTGGGTTACAAAGATTTTCTTCTATGTTTTTCTCTAGAAGTTTTATAGTTTTAGTTTTAACATTTAGGTCTGTGAGTCATTGTGAGTTAATTATACGATGTGCCATGTGGATGAAGCTCTTCACCTCTTTTTTTTTTTTAGTATGTGGACATCAGTTGTTCCAGCACTGTTTGTTGAAAAAATCCTTTCTCCATTGAATTGCCTTTGAACATTTGTAAAAAATCAACTGATCATATATGTGGGGGTCTATTTCTAGACTTTCTATTCTATTCCATTAATCAATAGGTCTGTCCTTTTGCTAATACCAGACTGTCTTCACTACTGTATGTCTTTTTTTTTTTTTTAGCGTTAAAATTTTATTGACACTCAGGTTTAGAATATAACAATTTGAAACAATATTATATTGAATATTTTCTATTTTCTAACCAGTATTTTCACTTGCTTTATACGATTTCTGGGCATAAGTTCTAAGAATGCATAGGTTCTGTCTAATATTCCATGATAAGACAATTATAAAATAAACCAAACCCATTGCCACAGAGTGGTTCCAACTCATAGTGACCCTATAGGATGGAGTAGAACTGCCCCACAGAGTTTCCAGGGAGTGCCTGGTGGATTTGAGCTGCTGACCTTTTGGTTAACAGTCATAGCACTTAACCATTATGCCACCAGGGTTTCCAAATTATACATTCACAAAAATCTCAGATACTTTTCCAACTGTTCTTATTTCATGTCATAATTTCAAAAACTAAGTTCAAATATTAAAAATTTAAGACCTCAATCCTATGGCCATTGTAATATAGAAAAGAAAAAATTACATAATCGGAACTATTTAAAACTGTTGTTAACATATACTGTGATAATGGAATATGATATGTGGATATATATGGAATATGAATGTGATAATTGAATATGAATTTCAACACAACTATATGAATTTCTTATTAAAATGTTCCAGCATTTCCTACTGAAGCATGTCCAAAGTTATAAAAATCTGCTCTTTTAAATTAATCTATACTGAATTAATCCAAAAATAATTGTAGCACTTTAGATAAGACATTTATTCTCTTGCATATTCTAAGTGCCTAAGGTACAACCTGATGGATAGCGGGTTACTAGAAAGAATAAAAAGCACAGCTTTCCTTAAGGAGTAAGTTGTTTAGGATAACGGGGGAACACTGAGGTTTGGTGAACGTTGTGTAATCCTGAAAACAGCATGGACACTCATTCCAACCCAGTCCCTCTACCAGCATGAAGAGGTACTTCAAAGTGGGAAGAATTGATGTAAGCCTTAATTTTCTCTGAATGAATTCCGTGGTGTACGGCTCTCTCTATTAACAGTTGAGGATAATGAATTCTTTGAGCTCCTGACAGTATTTCTTCCCCTCTCATAAACATAAGAGTTGGACTGTTTAGGATTTCTTGGGTCAGGCATGGTATAGAAAAGTCTTACAGCCAAGGGATATTTATCAAGAATATAAAAATCTGTATCATACTTTTCCTTTACCAATTGACCCGACAGTTTTTCATTTGGTGTACTCAGACCTTCTTCATCTCCCATTTTGATTCCAGCTTCCCCAACAAATGCTTCACAATACTCTAGTCCTAAAGTTGGGAAAAATATGGAACACTTCACGAATTTGCATGTCATCCTTGTGCAGGGGACATGCTAATGTTCTCTGCATCATTCCAATTTTAGTATACATGCTGCCAAGGAGAGCACTGTATGTAAGTCGTGAAATTAGGTTGAGTGAATCCTCCAACTTTGTTCTTTTTCAAAATGGCATCAGCTATTCTGGTTCCTTTGTATTTTAATATGAATTTTAGAATTATCTCATTGTTTTCTTAAAAAAAAAAAAATAGCCTTGGTGGGATTTCTATTAGAACTGAGTTGAATTTAGAGGTAGATTTGGGAAGAAGTGATAGCTTAACAATATTGACTCTTCCAATATATGAACATTATATATTTCTCCACTTATTTAGGTCTTCTTTGAGTAATTTCATCAATGTTTGCAGTTTTCAGCATATAGGTCTTGCATATATTTTGTTAAATTTATACCTATTTCATGTTTTTGGTGACATTTTAAATGGTACTTTAAAAAATTCAATTTCCAATCATTCATTGCTTTAGATAGAAATGACTGATTTTTTAAAATAATTTAACAAGGTCATAAATGCTACTTCCAGCTGAAAGATAGAATTCCATAAACCCAACTCTTTGAGTAGTAATGATATAACCAAAAGTAGCACCCGTGTGAAGATCAAATATAATTGACAATTTCCTCCTCAATGTTCCCCAAAAATCATCAGTGACAAAATTATTTTTCCATTCCACCACTCTCCGTATGTCCTTCCATTCTATTACCTTCAAAGATGCCCCCATGTTTTCCCCTCATTTTTACAGCTATCATTGTAGCAGTCAGTGATCTTCCCCACCGTATGCCCACACTATGTGCATCAGGTTTTCAAGCTAAGCATTGCACTTATAACCTTTCCTCTTTCCCTTTCTTTCTAAGCAAAGATATAGTTGTCAAGTTGAGTCTTCCAAGCCTCTCTCATCATGTCACTCCAAGATATTCCATATACTTAGAGCCTGATCCTCATTTCTCCTTGAGGATAACTGCAAATTATGAGTGAAGTGGCCCACGTGTCTAATGGCCTCTTTTCTGTCTTATCAACTGGCTTCTCTCTAAAGTAGATAAACAAATATTTGCTTAGCCATTGCACAGACTAGCATTTCCTCCTTCTGAGCATGTAGGTTTTCTCAGGCATGATCCTGACCTAAATCCTCCCATTCCTCCCATTACTTTCCCAGTACTTCTTCCAGTCACCTTTCCCTAGCATATGCACTCTCTTAACCTTCTATGCATCTGGGCAGCAACTCTTCATTAATTTACATATATTTAAATTGCAGATAATTCATAATAAAATTATTAAAACCAGAAGCAAAACTTTATGAATGGACCAAAGAAACCTACCCAAATGCCTTCCTTGTAGATATTTGCATGATATTATGTTAAAATCAAATTATTTTTTGAGTTATTATTGACATTTCAATTTCAATTCTATTACCAGTAATCAGTAAATGATAGATTTTTTCTTCCCCGGGTTTCACTCCCATCAGATTGACAAAAACAACTGTTAATATCAAGAGTTGGCAAGGATATGGGAAACAGGAACTCTCATATAGTCTTAGTGAGAGTGTAAGCTGTCGAAATCTGGTTAAGTTGAAAATTTACATCCCTACATACCATATGACCCAGCAATTCTACTTATAGTATATTTATTAGAAAAATTCAAGGAGATGTATACCAGGGACATATACAAGGATGTTTATAATAGCAAACAAATTGGAAACAACCTAATTGTCCATCAACAGGATAATGGATTAATTGTTGTTTAGCCATATAATTGAAAATTGTACAGCATTTAAAATGAACTAGGTCTACATATATATTAATGTGGATTAATCTTTGAAATATAACAAGTGAAAAAAACAAGTTACAGAATGATATATAGAGTATGATACAATTTAACAAAGTTTAAGAAACTCAAACTATTACTACATTTTTACGTACACACACACGTGCACAATGTATAAAATATGGGTGGAGAAGATGTATACCAATTTCAGTAGAGTGGTTACTTCTAGTCTGGGAAGAAGCACAAAAGCAATTTTAACTCTATTATTTTACTTCTTATAAAAAATATCTCAAGTAAATATCAACAAAATGTTAAGATCCTTTATATCTGGCAGTAGATACATAGGTGTTTATTATTTTCTGTTCTTCATATAAGTTAGAAATATTTCATAGCAAAAATTAAGAAAAATATCAATCTAGTTGTGCTTGGGGAAATCTTTTCTGATATCTTTAGAGTGAGTGATTTACTTTTTAAAATACTGTGTGTACAATATTGGAGTATTGTAGGGTATGGTAGTGGGATTAGGGAAACAAGCAGAGAAGGGAAACAGAGAAAATGTAGAGCTGAGGTTGCCTAGGTGTGTATAAGGGGGGTGAGGTCAGGTTCAAAAAGGGAAGAAATATAGAATGACTGGGTATAGGCAGAGGAGACAGAAAAGAAATGAAAATGTGTTAAGCTTCCCAGCTGAATTATAACCTCTTTCAGGGCAGGAACTGGACTTTTTGCTTTGTTCTCATTCTCTAAACCTCAGATGCCATCTCTTTCCAACAGGCACTTAATGCGTTGGGTTGACTGTTTGCTATTCTGTCTTGCCAGCAAAATTCACAACCTGAACACTAATACTCTGCTTACTAATTATGCTTATTGATTATGTTTGACACTCACCACTCAGGTTTAGTTGCTGGAGATCATTTAAAAATAGAAAAGATGGTGGCAGATAACTTATTTGATTGTTGCATGCGTTCAAACTAACCAAACTTCTCAATTCCCCTATATTCCTTGGAATCTCTCTGATTGCATTATTTGAGATATCAAGTCCTTTAAGTTGAATCATATTAGACAGTTCTTCTGGAAGTGTTGTTAACTGTAACAAAGATTAAATAATTTTCCTTTTAATAATGATTTACATGACAAACTTTTTCTAAAATTAAAAGGTAGATATTTTTATCTTAGGAGATATTTTCATTATGCCACGATTTCTTACGGACACCCCTCCTGTCTAAAACCTGCAAGATATTGTGTGGCATCCAAGTAACTCCCCAATATGGCCAATGCTACCAGTTCAACCCTGTGTCCTGCTAATCAGCTTTCCTCCCTTTCCCAACACTGGTGTTCATTGCTACCTCATCCCTTTTTTCCTACTTCCTGCTGCGTCCCTCGCCAAATTTGACCAAGCTTTGGTTTCTTCTCCTGCCTGAAGTCTTTCCAAACTGCTCTGTCCCACAGTACTCATTCTGACACTCATCAATTAGGGATTATTATCATTTATTATTTCCTTATGTTTTCCTTGGATTCTTAAATGACATGATATTGCATGCTTTATACTTTTTGTGTATGTGCTCACAAGCAGGATGCATTTTGAGTAAATGCTCAGTAAAAGCCCTTAGAATGGAATCACATAGTTTGGCAATATGGCCTCAAACAAAAGTCCCCAGTACAAAAAGTGTTGCAAAGTAGAAGGAATTAAAACACTTTGCTGAGGTGAAGAAGAAATATATATGCTCAGAGAAAATAAGTCCATTACAAGGGCTTTTGAAATAAAGGAAATTCTGTGAATGAACTAGAAAAACTTTGAACATACGTAACCAAAACTAAACCCGTTGCCGTTGAGTCAATTCCAACTCATAGTGACTCTATAGGAGAGAGTAGAACTGCCCCACAGGGTTTCTAGGGAGTGGCTGGTAGATTCGAACTGCCAGCCGGTTGGTTAGCAGCCTGAGCTCTTAACCACTGCGCCACCAGGGCTCTTGAATATATGGGTTCCTAAAAAATTAACTAACCAATAATGTACATGCTGGATACTGTACTTGATGTTCTTCAAGATATAAAAGAAGCATAAGAGCTTCTGTCTTCAAGGAGATTAAAATTTAGTTCAGGAAACAAAATCCACTCATATGAAACAATCAAGAAAGCATAAAGCAATAAGTAATCAAATGACAAAATAAAGACTACTAGTGATAACAGATATATGGAAGTTTAGAGAAAGTAGATCAGTACAAATCAGAGAACTAAAAGAAAGCTTTGTGTAAAAAGTGGGACTTGAATAGCCTCTTAGGAATAAATAGAAGTGATAGGACACTTAAGGCAAGGCAAATATCATGCATAAAAATGGCCAGTGAGAAACTGACCAGTAAAGAGAGGTGATGGGAAGCAGAAGGAGATAAATGTGGGTAAGGAGCATAAAACCTGGTTAGCAAGACTTAACAGCAAGGCCTATGATATAGAAGTAAGATCATGACAGGTGGGCAAGTCCATAATTTGACACACCTTCAAACTAATATTTTTTAATCACTTACTCAGCATTTATAGAGGAAGTACAGGTAGTCCTTGACTTACAAGGGGGGCTCCATTCTGACGACTCCGTCGTAAGTTGGTTCTGACATAAGTTGTATACCTCTTTTTTTTAAGTTTTCATTATTGTTGCCTTTTATTATCACTATCTTTATAAATCCGATCTTTATTTGTCTTTGAGGGTTGGAAACATTGCATTTAAACTTACAGATATATTTTAATACATACATACATTAAAAAAATACACAAATCATAAAAAATTTACTCTGACAATGAAGAGTTGGACAACATTGGCATTTTGTTAGTTGTGGAACTAACTCCACTGGTGGAAGGTTCTGGATCATCTGGATTATCCTTGGAAATAGGGATAGCATTTCTGGTCAGAAAATTAGTGAGAGTTGTCTGTATGGTCCTTTTCTTTTTTTTCTTCCCATATTTTATGGTAACATCTCACTGCTTCCTGAATTTTCCTATCGACTTTAGCAAAGCAATCAGTTTTTGGGTCCATGTTTTCAAGCAACTGAAGCCCTTGATTTAGTTTGGAAAGAACTTCAGCTAATCCTTTCATGGTAAAATTTTTTACAGCTTCTGTCCTATCTCTTCTTCCTTATTTTTTTCTTCTTCAGCATTTCTCTCCTCTTCAAAATCCATTAAGTCCTGATCTGTCAATTCCTCCTCTTTGTGATCTATGAGCATGGATGGTATCAAGATTTTTCCACCAATCTCTTCCATCATATTATCCTGATCAAATGCTTGGAGTGTGTTCACATAACTGAGCAACTTTTTCCAAATCCCCTGCATGCATTCGTCTGTAACTTCCTCCCGGAAAGATGCAATGTTCTGGAAACACTGAAGAATATTGTAATTCTTACAGAAATTGAGTAATGTTACCATACCTCCATCTGTTGCAACTGTTGCCTGAGCAAATGTAATCTGTAGGTAGTATGCCTTTGAAGTGGCCACTGTACCTTGATCTATAGGCTGAATCACAGCTGTTGTATTGGGAGGTAAATACACCACTTTCACATCTTGATTTAGATCATCTAGGTGAGGAGGATGTCCTGGGGCATTATCAAGTAGCGGCAGAATCTTGACTGTCAAAAGTGTGGTCTGTCATAACTCGAATACGTTATAAGTCAGGGACTACCTGTACCTAACAGTTGTCTGAAGATAAAACTACTGTAGAAGGAAGATTACTGTTGGGCACCTTTCACTTAGCAAAATAAAAGCCCTGTGATTAACTGGACCCGTCTTCTTCAGATGACTGTTTAGTGACCATTTGCTGTTATATAAATTAATCCTTTGGACATCTCATCCCCACCCCAAAGGGTTTATCAACATGGCCTTCCCAACACATAAGACATTCTCCTTGACAAGAAACCAAAAGAGACATGGAAAATTATACCATGTTCGTGGATAAGAAGACTCAACATTGTGAAAATGTCAAGTCTACCCAAAGTGATCTATAGATGTAATGAATCCCGATCCAAATACCAATAACATTCTTTAATGACATCAAGAAACTAATTACTAACTTTATATGGAAAGGAAAGAGGCTCTGAATAGGTAAAGCATTTTTGAAAATGAAGAACAAAGTAGGAGGCCTAACACTGCCTGATCTCAAAACCTACTATACAGCCATAGTAGTCAAAACAGCCTAGTACTGACACAAAGAGACACATAGACCAATGAACAGAATTGAGAACTCAGGCGTGAATCCATCCACCTATGGTCAGCTGATCTTTGACGAAGGACCAAAGTCCATTAAATGGGGAAAAGACAGTCTTTTTAACAAATGGTGCTGGCAAAACTGGATGTCCGTCTGTAAAAAATGAAACAGGACCCATACCTCACACCATACACAAAAACTAATTCAAAATGGATCAAAGATCTAAAGATAAAACCTGAAACTATGAAGATCGTGGAAGAAAAAATAGGGACAACCCTAGGGACCCTAATATACAGCATAAATAGGATACAAACCATAACTAACAATGCACAAACACAAAAAGATAAACTAGATAACTGGGAGCTCCTAAAAATTAAACACTTAAACCCTCATCAGAAGACTTCACCAAAAGAGTAAAAACAGAACCTACAGACTGGGAAAAAAAATTTGGCTATGACATGTCCAACAAGGGTCTAATCTCTAAAATCTGTAAGATACTTCAACACCTCAACAACAAAAAAACAAATAATCCAATTTAAAAATGGGCAAAGGACATGAACAGACACTTTACCAAAGAAGACATCCAGGTGGCTAACAGACACATGAGGAAGTGCTTGCAATCATTTGCCATTAAAGAAATGCAAATCAAAACCACATGGAGATGCCATCTCACCTGGACATTACTGGCACTAATCAAAAAAACAGAAAATAACAAGTGTTGGAGAGGTTGCAGTGAGATTGGAACTCTTATGCAATGCTGGTGAGAATGTAAAATGGTACGACCACTATGGAAAATTATATGGTGCTTCCTTAAAAAGCTAGAAATAGAAATACCATACAATCCAGCAATCCCACTCCTAGGAATATATCATGGAGAAATAAGAGCCGTCACATGAATAGACATATGCACACCCATGTTCCTTGCAACACTATTCACAATAACAAAAAGATGGAAACAACCTAAGTGCTCATCAACAGATGAATAGATAAACAAATTATGGTACATATGCACAATGGAATACTACCCAACGATAAAGAACAATGATGAATCCATGAAATATCTCACAACATGGATGAATTTGGAGGGCATTATGTTGAGTGGAGCCCTGGTGGCACAGTGGTTAAGAGCTCAGCTGCTAACCAAAAGGTTGGCAGTTTGAATCCACCAGCCGCTCCTTGGAAACTATGTGGGGCTGTTCTACTCTGTCCTATAAGGTCCTTATGAGTCGGAATCCACTTGACGGCAACGGGTTAGGTTTGTAAATTTGTGGGTCATGTGCATGCAAGTGACAGGTGTGCTAACATCTAGGAAGAAGTTAATAGAAAGGAAAAGAGAAAGCCAAGGACACAACCTCGGAGACATCTATACTTAAGGTACAGGAAGAGAAAGTGAGATGATTATAAATCAGCCAAGGAAGTAGCTGATGATTATAATGTAGAATTAAACTAAAAAGTGTCTTTTTGTACAAAAGCAAATTTTAAAACATATATGTATTCACTTCCAACTATTTAAGCAAGTATTCCCTGAGGTAGCCTTTCTGGAAATGTATGGTGGTGGTAGGTTAAAGCTCAAATAAAAATGGGTTAAACAGAGGTAAACCCGTTTCTTTAGTGCAGGACTTTTCAGTCTTTAATATACTAATGTTCATTGTTACTCTCTAAGACAAGAACCCAGTGCTTCCCAAAGCTATTTGCTCACAGACCCCAGCTAATCAAATTAAAGATAGCCAGATGACAGCCACGCTCTCTTCGTTAATTTACTGAGAACTTACTATCAATCAGTAATGTTTTAATTAAAAAAAAAAAAAACTATTTCCATAAAATTCACTCTCAGAGTTTACATAAAATGAAATGCTAAACATAAAAATGCTTATTCCTATTGATCCAGCAATTCTTTAGGGAAACTGTCCTAAGGAAATAGTCTAAAACATGAAAAAGGTTATATTTATGAAGTTCATTATAGTATTATTTATGATGATGAAAAATTTACAACATTCCTAAATGCTTAACAACAGAGGATTATTTACATAAATCATGTATTTGTTATAATGATTATTGGGAAGATTATGCCATATCATGAAGAAAATCTTAATAAATATTAAGTGAAAATGAAGAATTTAAAATTGAGCGCAGTCTTTTTAAAACTGTCTATAAGAAAAAGACTAGAAGGAAGTTTTACCAACATATAACCAATAGTTTTATTACCATGATGTGCCTGTGCGATGATTTTTTTATTTTTTTACTTCTTTTCTGTATTTTCCAAATTTTTTGCAATGTGTTTATATTGCATTATAACTTTAAAACTCCTTTTATAATTAAACTGGAAATAAAAAATTTACAAAATTGGTAGCTTTAATTGCTTGGCATTTCATTTTAATATTTTCCTGTAAAGCTTTTGTGTTGAAAAGTGTTTTTGTAACCCATATTTAGAAAATAAAAGTCTATCCTTTAAAAAATAAAATATTCCAGCTAAGTTTAAAACACACAGATACACAACAGATACACACACACATACACACACACACACACACACACACACACACATACACTAAAGCTTAGATTGTGATCCCCTCCAGTCCCTCCTTCCTCTAAAAGCCCAACATATCGGTCTCTTACCTTTCTCCCATTTATCTGACTTATATTCAGCTCTTCCAGTGACTGAAGATGACACAATTCAATAGGAAAACATACAAATTGATTGCTTGAAAAGTTTAATTTCTGGATTCCTTTTAAGTTACAGATATCTGAAGGGATCGTCTGTATTTGATTTTCTGAAAGATCAAGTACTTGCAAATTTTCTAGAGCACACAATTCTGTAGGGAACGTTTCAAATTTATTGTGGCATAAAATAAGTACATGGAGTGATACCATATTGGAAATAAATGGTGGAATTTTATTTATTTGATTTTTACCAATATCCAGGTACTCAAGATTAGTAAGGGAACATAGGTGCTCAGAAAATATGAGGAGTTTGTTTTCATTAAACTCTAAATGAAGCAGTTGTTTATTGAAAGATATGTCCACAGGTATTTTTGAAATATAATTGCCATTACACCTCAAATAATAAAGCGAATCCAAAGCACACAGTCCCACTGGAAAATACATTATTTTGTTATAGCTCAAATTAACTTTAGTCATTTTTCTGCAGTTTTTTATTTCAATGGGAACATCTGTGATTACATTTCCTGAAAATTCAAGACTGTATATATTATTAAGATGTGAGATGTCTTCAGTTATTTTCAATATACTATTTCTGTTTACATGGAGTTTCCTTAAATTTTTAAGCTTGTGAATATTCTTAGGAAGTTCTATTAATTCATTATCATTAAGACTTAGGCATTCCAACATCATACAGTGGGAAATTTTCTCTGGTATGTCTTTCAATAAATTTTTATTCAGTATAAGAATTCTCAGTTCCTTGAAATTCCCAATTTTGTCTGAAATAACTTCTAATTTATTGTCAGCCAGTTGGAGTTCTTTCATTTTGAGCAACTGAAATATTTCCACGGCCAAAAAGGTAAGTTTGTTGTGATCAAGTGAAAGGCTTTCTAAATTTTTAAGCTCCTTAATTTCTTTTGGCAAACTGCCTATCAGGTTTCCATTAAGGTTTAGCGAAATTAATTTTGGAAGGAAGCATAGAGCTTTAGGAAATATTGTTAACTGATTATATTCCAAATTGAGAATCCTCAAGTTTTTCAAATTATATACAGTTTCTGGTATGTGTCTTAACTTATTTTTAGCCAAATTTAAAATTTCCAAGTTTCCAAGATTTTCTAAGCCAGGAGGAAAACTCTCAATATAATTGTTATTAAAAAAGAGTTGCCTGATATTTTCAAGCTGTGATATTTCTTTAGGGATATGTGATATTTGGTTGTGACTGACATTTAATATCCTTAAATTAGGAAGTAAATGAACTTCAGATGGAAGTGATAATATCTTATTTTCTTTCAAGGATAGAATTTCAAGTCCTAACAGATCACTTGAGTCTGCCTGAAAAGTTTTTATTTGGTTCTTGTCTAAATATAAATACTTCACATGTTTGACTTTTAAAATGTCATAAGGGAATTCTTGTAAACCTTTGGCCTCAAGGTTAATTGTAAAGTTATCTGACCCTAAGTCAGATTCTTTCTGATTTTCTTCAGGGACGTTTGTACTACTTTTCTGTAACGTGTCAAGAGGTAGGTGGTTAAAGAAAGCCTGATATTCTTCAGTCATCTCAGTTATTGAGAATGATGGACTTTGTAAAATTTCTGTTTCTGACTCTGAGCTGCCATCTCTAGTACTCATTTCAGAAAATTGAAGCTTTTTCTTTAGTTCTTCATTTCTCTTAGACCTATTTTCAGAGGAAGTTGTGGAATCTAATGTATACTTCCTAGGAAGTGTTTCAAAAATCTGGTTAGAAGGTTTCTCTTCCAGGTTATCAGAAGTTTGATTTAATGAAATTGATGTTTCATTAATAAATCCAGGCTCTTCAGTTGACTGTGATCTAGATTCTTGTCTAAATTGACTAGTGACATCCTCTAGCTCTTCTGAAGTACTCTCCTTTTCAGACATCTTATTTGCGGATACGTCTGATATCATTACAAGATTGTAACTTGATTTTAATTTTCATGTTTAATTTTTTTCCTCTGAACCTATAAAAAAAGTTGATATTAAAAGAAGAGATGAAATAAAGATGTCAAAATTTCAAATGAATTTTAATATATAGAGAGTATAAGGTAGACAGTAATGTTTTACTCTATAAGGAATAATTTGATAAATATAAAAATAATACATAAATAATTAATAAATTAATTTTATATTTGACTCCTAGTAAAGGATAGTTTATTGATTGCAGGCACTTATTGCCTGTTATTCTTGAGATCACATTAAAATGATAGGAATAACAAAGATCAAAGAAAACGGGAGATGAGATATCAGTGAATGAGAGAACTCAGAAAATTTCTGGAAGACAGAAAGGGGATAGCCAGTAGCATGAATGTGCCACATCTAAAGGGTGCCACTAACATCTGGACATTGTAGATTTGCATATGGTACTAAAGTGTCTTGTAATGAATTCAGAACAGTATGGTGATTTTCCAGTAGGTAGTAGTAAACTGTCTTAAGGAAGGGGACATTTTCTGTAAGAACAGGACTGCAGCCTGCCTTTGAAGCTTTTGTGTGACTTCTGAGGTACCTGTACCAACTGGGTATCACACCTCCTGAGAGGTCTGGGTCCCAGCTTTGTAGGGTCACTTTTCCAAGCTTGTAGTTTCTAATAAAACAACCTCTTCTCTTGTCTCCTCAGACCTAGGAATGGTAGCTACTCGTTACTCACTGCCATCAAGTCAATTCCAACTCATAGCGACCCTATAAGACAGAGTAGGAACCGCTCCGTGGGGTTTCGAAGGCTGTAATCTTTACAGAAGCAAACTGCCACATCTTTCTCCCATAGAGTGGCTGGTGGGTTCAAACCACTAACGTTTCAGTTAGCAGCCAAGCGCTTAGCCACTGAGCCACCAGGGCTCCTGGATGGTAGCTATTTCCTATATTTACTATTTCTGTATTACTGTAGTCCCCCTCTACCTTTTCAGTCCTCCAATACTCCTTATATTAAGTCCTTTTCTTTTAAACTGGTATGATATCTATGTTCCTGATTAAATGCTAACATACCCTGAAATTGTATTAAAATGATATCAGATTGTTAGTACCCTCAGACACTTGGCAAAAGAAAACTAAAATCCTCTCTGGAAGAATATATCATCTTAGGCTTTGAATTATTTCATCTAGTATTTTTTTCAAATGCAATGACCAGCACACAATAAAAGAAAACCAGGCACAGTAGAAGACAAGATAACATGAATGAGAACTACACAAATACAGAACCACAGGTATTCAGATAGCAGGTTGACCAGACAAAGATAGCAAAACAATTACGTTTGTTAGGGAGATAAACAGCCAAACTTAAAAATCTCAACATTAACAGGAAAGCATAAAAATTGAAATTACATATTAAAAAGTGAAATAACACAACTAGAAATTCTAGGGCTGAAAAATGCATTAACCAAAACGAAGAACTCAGTGGATATATTTAACATAAGCTAGACTGGCTGAAGAGAATAGTGAATTGGAAGAAAGATCAGAAGAATCTATCCAGAATGAAGCACAAAGAATCAAAATGATGGAAAATACAAAAGAAGAATTATAGACATAGAGTATATAGTAAAGTCTACCATACATGTAAATGGAGTTCCAGAAGCACAAGAGAGAGTGAACGGAGCAGAAGCATTATTTGAAGAAATAATGACTGAGGATTTCCTTAAGATTTAAGGATTAAATCAGCTTTAAGAAACCTAACAAATTGAAAGGAAGATAAACAAAATGAGACCCACCCCACTCCCAGATACATAATAGTGAAATTTCAGAACACCATAGACAAAGAGAAAATCATAAAAGCAGTAACTGATAAAACAAGAAAATAGAGTAACAGCCAAAAAAAAAAAAATCAGTAAAAAGACGGACGATATGAACATCATGATGAGAACGCCTAACCTAACCAATACATATAGAATGCCTCACCCAGCAACTGCAGAATACACATTTTTTTATGAGTACACACAGGACATTTATAAACATTGACCATATACTGAGTCATAAAGAATATCTCAATAAATTTTCAAAGGATTAAAATTATACACAGTATATTCTAACAACAAAAGAAAATCCCTACGTATTTAGAAATGTACTTCTAAACAAATGTGTCAAAGAAAACACAATACAAAACAAATTATTTGTAACTACATAATAACAAAAAAATACTATATATCAAAAGATGTTTAACATCATTAACCATTAGAGAAAAGCAATTTAAAATGATGAGATACCACTAAAACCTGTTAGAATGACTTAAAAAAAATGTTGAAAATACCTAGTGCTGGTGAGGATGTAACTGAAATTCATACATCGAGGTGGAAACACAAAATGGTATAGCCCTTCTGGAAAACAATTTGGCTTTTTCTATAAAATCAAGCATACGTTTACCATTATGACCCAGCAATCTTTCTGCTGGGTATTTACCCTGTAGTGGTGGTTCTTAACTAGGAGACATTTTTGCAATTACAGACAGCTTTTGGGCTGTCACAACTGGGGCGGAGCGGAGTGCTACTGACATTTAGTAGGTTGGGGTCAGGGATACTGCTAAACCTCTATAAGGCGCAGGACATCTGCCACAACAAAGAAATATCTTGCCTAAAATATTAATGGTGCTGATCTTGAGATATCTTACCATAGAGAAATAAAAACTTACATACTCAAAAATCTATACACACAAAAATTTATACACAAATGTTTATAGCAGTTCTAGCAATAATTTGAAATATTTCTATTCATAATTCAAAACTGGAAACAGCTCATCTATCCTTCAACAGACGAATGAATAAACAAATTGGTGAATCCATATAATGGAATACTACACAGCAATAAAAAGCAATGAACTGTTGATACCCACAACTTCGATGACTCTCAAAAGCAGTATGCTAAGTGAAATAAGCCAATTATGTATGTAAAAGGTTATATATAGTGTATGATTCATTTTACATACCATTCTCAAAAAGACAAAACTGTAGTGATAAAGAACAGATCAGTTGTTGCAAAGGTTAGGGGTAGAAGGAAAGTGTGACTGTAAAGGCATAGTATGAGAGCGTTCTTTGGGGTGATGGAACTGAACTGTAACCTGATTGTGCCGGTGGTTACCCAAATCTACACATGTGTTAAAATCGTAAAAAGTAGACCAAAAAAGTTATTTTTACTACATGATAATTTTTAAAGTTGCAGGATGTAGCTAAAGCCATGTTTAAGAAATTTATAGCCTTAAATGTATATATTAGAAAAGAAGAAAACTGACAATTAATAACTTAAGAAGTTAGAAAAAAAATATAGGAACATAAACCTAAAGTAAAAGACATTATTAAAGGTGAGAGCAGAAATTAAGAGATACAAATATACTAAAAAGGCTTAACAGTGCCAAAAATTTGTTCTCCAAACGCACGTTAAAAAAACACATCTGGTAAGACTGATCAAGGAAGAAAAGAAAGAAAGAAAAGACACAAATAACTAATATATTAGGAACACAAAAAGGGACCTAGTTCTACAGAACCTACAGCCATTAAAATGACAATAAGAGGATATTATAAACAACTTTATGCCAATAATGAAAATCTAGATAAAATGGACAAATTCATAGAAAAAAATAGTGCTTATCAAAACTGACACAAGATTTTGAACCTATAGTTAAAAAGTCAGAACAAAACTCCAGACCCAGACGACTTAACTGGACATCCATATGGAAAGAAAAAGATATTTGACCCTTACTTTACCATCCACAAAAATCTGTTTTAGGTGGGCTATAGGCAGTGCAAAAGGTTAATGCACTTGACTGCTAATCAAAAGGCTGGAGGCTGGAGTCCACCCAGAAGTGCCTTGGAAGAAAGGCCTGGTGATCCACTTGTGAAAAATCAGCCACTGAAAACCCTATAGAACACAGTTCTATTCTGACACACATGGGGTTGTCATGAGTTTCAGATTTAAATATGAAAAGTAAAACAATAAGCCTTCAGGTAGATGACTGAAGAGGATGTCTTCATGACCTTGGAATAGCGAATGTCTTCAATGGACATAAAAAGTTTTGTTTGTGATAGCAACAGATTGGAAAAGCATAAATGTCCATAATAAGACGTATATTATACATTATAGATCTAAACTTCAACAGAATCTTTACCCCACCAGGCTGGAATGGGGTTTAGTCAATACACTTTCAGCGTTTTTTCTTCAGTTATTACTAAAGGCTATCAAAATAATCTGTCTAAAAGCTCTTCCACTCAAAGTTTCTCAAAATGTTTCTTACAGCTTTAACTATAATTTTTACTATGTTGAATCAAAGCATTTGAGTTTATAATTTTCTATTCCCCCATGTGTTTTGTTATATTTTAACTTTATGGCTTGTTCTTTTTGTGCCTTGTTTAAGAAATTCTTACATATTTACTTCTGGCATCTACCCATTGGATCTCAGGGTAATTTGAAGAAAGTTTAAGAGCTTATTTACAAACGTGTGGGTGGAGTATAGGGAAACACAAAGGATAGTGAAGTACCCCTGGGCTAGTAACAGTGTGGCCATTGTTACCCCTAAGCTTGAAGGGGAAGAAGCAAGAAAAAACCCAGAGAGAGTGCACTATGGACAAAGGCCACCTGAAGGGAGCTGGAACACTAGATGGAGGAACACAGTCAATCTGCAGCAATGCTGCAGTGAGAGAGCCAGTGAAATAAATACCCATCCTCATTCTTCTCCCTTCCTCTTATCTTCTGGTGGAGCTCCCCATTAGCCAAACATAAAAGACACTTGATGCAATCTATACAATTCAGCTCCCTGGGGTACAACGCAGAATGGAGAAGGGTGGAGACTGCAAAAAGGGTCACAAATTTTTCCCATCTTTGTATGTGCTCCAAAAGGCAGAGTCTGTTTCCCCCCTTTTGAGTCTTAGCTTGGCCATGTGACTTGCTTTGCCAATGGGGCATAAGCAGATGTGACACAAGCAAAGGTTTGAAAAGCACTTACACATTAGAGTTTATAGAACTGTCTTCTCACAGTTATTTGGATCC